TAAAAACTATAAAAAATATTCGAGGAGATTGACAAGGATGAACTTTTAACGGAAATCAAACTTGCTAGAGAGATACCTATTACGCCCGGACTTTCCGAATGGAGGGAGAGGCGGGGGTATGGGAAGTTTACTAAGATGAGACTTAACAAATCTTCTGTCATGGTACCCTCGTACCCCCAAGGTCAGAAGCGAGGAACGGGGTTTACTGGCACAGCATGACAGACACACAGCCGGCCGTCATGAACTTGCCGCAGTATGGGAGTGCAGGAGAGGAGGAGAAGTACATGTCAGCATGGTAAGTTTGAACATCAGCACCGAAACTCTCCTGCTAACCCTCTGGCGCGCTTCCTCTCCAGCACACCTCCCCCTGCCCCCCCCCCTTTGCCGAGCGTCCTGAGTTCAAGTTTGGAGATGGAGGGGAGACGGGAGAGGAGGAGGAAGATGATGTAGTTGATGCTCTAGGATGTCATGGACCCGCGCTCCTGCCTGCTTCCAAGACAACCTCCCTCCTCCGCCCTATGCGGACGGGTTCGAGCCCGTCAACACCCCCGGGGTCATAGCTGGGCAGGTCATCCTGAAAGGTCGCTCCCGATGTCGCATGGAGGAAGTTGACCCCAAGGGCTGACGACCCTCATTCAGTGTTGTCCTGCAGCGGGATGCCTGTACAGCTTGACATGTCCAAGGACATCGGAGTCCAAGTCTGCGTGCGAGAGAGAGTCATCTGGCCCAACGGCAAGGAGGAGATCTCTTACGGTGAAACTGCACAGCAAACATGCCGACATTGATGGATCTCGAGCAGGAAAGTCCAAATGGACCATCCCCCGCGACTCTCCCACAGTTGAGCTCGACGTTCGAAGCCCCTTGTCGTACGTCTGCTCTTCAGCCCCCGGCTGTCCTGACCCTGACCCAACAGCGCTCAGCTTGTTGTAGCCGTCTTCGACCTGACCAAGATGGATCCGAGGGAGCGGTTCTTAGGAGAGGTTGTTCTCAACGTCATCAAGCTTCTCACTATCCATCAAGCTGTGAGCTCTGTCGGACGGAAGGCCTGTGTCATGAACTTGTCCTCAAAGGTGAAGGACAACTTCGCCCTCCAGCGCTCCAAGTATGTACCGGATGTTCCCGTGGCGGGGAGCATCTTTCTGCTGGTATTTGCCTCTTGCAAAGATGGTTCTTGTCCGGTGAAACGAGTGGACCCAGGTAAAGTGGTCTAACAAGGCCAACGGGAGCAGCCTGTTGCCGATTTCAGCTACAGGTGTTGTACCTGTTTCAGTGCTGTGGTGCTGATGAATGAGTTCGGTTCTCTATGTGCGGGGCTCTTGTGGTTTCTAGCTGTGGAGGAGAAGAAGGTAAGAACAATCTACTCTCAAACCCTAACATTCTACTCTCAACCCCTAACAATCTACTCTCATACGCTCACATGGAATCTTTAGAGTTCGTCTGCCGCCCTTGACGCCATCTTTTGCTGCTCGGGAAGTAGATGAGATTTGCCTCACGTCCTTTATAAACAACGCAGTTTGCATCAGAGGAAACGGGAAACAGCAACTTTGCTTTGAGGAGCCAGTCACAGCCATGCGCATCTGACAAGGAATGGTTTTGAAAATGAAATGTACTGATATCATGGTTTACAACAATCCAACAAATTGACGAACTCTGAAGAGTCCTGGGTGTTCTGGGATCAAAACCACTCAGACCACAGCGTCATGTCTCGCCAGCCGTGACTCTGACCTCTTGAAAAGGGTGCATATCTCGACTCTTAACCGAGACGGTGATCGGCTTGGCCTCCACCTTCTGCTCCTCCACGTGCGGAAACCACTGTGCCTGAAAAGACTGCAGATTAAACTTGTGCCTCCATTGTTGCACATGATACATGACCTGCAGTGTCACGGTCCCTGAGACTTCGATGCCTGGCAAGAAGACGCTAGGCTTCAAGACAAACTTGTCGCGAACCTGCCCGTGTGCTTGAGCGATACTGTCAACGGACAATCACTTTCACCGGGAGGTTGAACTGAGCAAGTTTGTCCAAGCTGATGATCGCTTCTCCCAAGAATCTATCCTTTGGGTCCTTCCCTTCCTTCGTGAAGAGAGCAACCACAAGGCTTGCGCTGGTATCGCCGTTCACCACACTCGAAAGGACTAACAACAGACAAGGACTAGCAACAAGTGATTCACCTCTTACAGTCGTCGACCTCAAACAACTTCGATCTCTCTTCCCAGATTGGTGTCTTGTCCGGAAATGAGTACGAGGTCCACTGAGGTATCCCTGTACAAAGAAATTCTCTTCACATGAATGCATGGTTACCATTAGATGTAGACCGTATTCGTACTTCTCAAGCAATTGCTGCGAGTCGGTCTTGGTCATTCGTACACAGATCTTGGCGGCGACACTCATCTCCTCCTCTTGATGATTCCTGAGATTCTCAGCCTTGGCAACTGTACAGGAAATGACATTGCATCAGGAAAGCCTGCATCAATCTCTCTCGTTACCGTTCACTACGACTCTCCCGTCGGGTTGGTCTATGGAGTTGAGATATATCGCTGGAATCGTGCACTTGGGATCCTTCCATGCAGGTATGGCACAGTCGTTTGCGATGCTGGAGGGCATTTGATCCCCTGATGAAAGGTCCTGTCTCCGACAAGTTTGAGGTTGAAACAGTGGTGCGCAAAAAGCTACTACGGCATACCGTATTCCTCCTCGACAAATCTCACTGCCTTCCTTCTCCCATTTCCCCTCTATCAGTCGATATGAACTCTTTTGATATGTATATGCGTACTACAACAAGAGAGCTTGAAAAACAGAACAAGTCCAGACAACTTCTTCGTTACCCGGTGCACTGGGAAAGAGTTCCGTGCTATCTAACCTCGCCGCAAAGAACTGCATTCAAGAACATTACCGGAAAAGTGGCAGGTACCCTCTCACTTGCTACTAAGAAACAACAGTACTGTACTGGATTTCCCAGTCAACTACCACAATAACAAACAGATTTTCCATGTGTTCTCTACTTGGCGGGCATCGCAGTCTTTGTAGTCAGTCTGAGACCCTCCGATTGCTCTCTTATCAGCATCCTGCCCTGCCGTCCCATCGGAGCAGGACAGTCACATTGCATACTTGTTGCATTGCATGCCAGTTTGACTATTCTTTTCATTGTTGCATTGCCTGCCAGTTTGACTATTCTTTTCATTACCGGCTGACGGTACTCCTGACCGTACTAGGCTACTCTCAGCTGTCCTCGTACTGATTTTTAACTTATCTTTGAGTAACTGAGGGGACTCTCAGCTACACTGCCGGAGGGCAGGCTAGCTAAAACTGAGCTGATTGTCCTCGACGGTACTCATTTTTAACTTAACTTTGAGGCCACCGCCCGGCCGGTGACCGTACTTGGTGACCGCAGTGTCCGAACTCGGAAAGTTCGGAATCTCCGTCCGATCTGCGGCCGGCCCGATCGGACGGCTGTTGCGGCAGTCATTAGTACCGTCACGGTGAAGTACCGTGAGTCGGTCAGCCCGCGAGCCTCGGAGCCGCTGATCGGACCGCCGCCGCCGACCGCCGACCGCCGCGATGATCGGACAGTCACCCCGAGTCAGGTATGCCACCGGGGAGGCTCACTGCCGTCCGAGTGACCCCAGGCTGGCAGAATGGTCCTGACGGTCGGACGCCAGGCCGGGCCGTGCAGTGCCCCGCGAGTCCGCCGGGGCCGCTGGGCCGGGCGGACGGTACGGTGCCACCGTGACGGTGCCGCTAGTGCCCGCGGCCCGAGCCGGACTCCCCGCGGCTGAGGGCCGTGGTACTCAGCCGGAAAGTTCCCGCTTGACTATTCTTTTCATTACCGGCTGACGGTACTCCTGACCGTACTAGGCTACTCTCAGCTGTCCTCGTACTGATTTTTAACTTATCTTTGAGTAACTGAGGGGACTCTCAGCTACACTGCCGGAGGGCAGGGCAGGCTAGCTAAAACTGAGCTGATTGTCCTCGACGGTACTCATTTTTAACTTAACTTTGAGGCCACCGCCCGGCCGGTGACCGTACTTGGTGACCGCAGTGTCCGAACTCGGAAAGTTCGGAATCTCCGTCCGATCTGCGGCCGGCCCGATCGGACGGCTGTTGCGGCAGTCATTAGTACCGTCACGGTGAAGTACCGTGAGTCGGTCAGCCCGCGAGCCTCGGAGCCGCTGATCGGACCGCCGCCGCCGACCGCCGATCGCCGCGATGATCGGACAGTGCCCGAGTCAGGTATGCCACCGGGGAGGCTCACTGCCGTCCGAGTGACCCCAGGCTGGCAGAATGGTCCTGACGGTCGGACGCCAGGCCGGGCCGTGCAGTGCCCCGCGAGTCCGCCGGGGCCGCTGGGCCGGGCGGACCGGGTACGGTGCCACCGTGACGGTGCCGCTAGTGCCCGCGGCCCGAGCCGGACTCCCCGCGGCTGAGGGCCGTGGTACTCAGCCGGAAAGTTCCCGCTTGACTATTCTTTTCATTACCGGCTGACGGTACTCCTGACCGTACTAGGCTACTCTCAGCTGTCCTCGTACTGATTTTCAAGTAACTTATCTTTGAGTAACTGAGGGGACTCTCAGCTACACTGCCGGAGGGCAGGGCAGGCTAGCTAAAACTGAGCTGATTGTCCTCGACGGTACTCATTTTTAACTTAACTTTGAGGCCACCGCCCGGCCGGTGACCGTACTTGGTGACCGCAGTGTCCGAACTCGGAAAGTTCGGAATCTCCGTCCGATCTGCGGCCGGCCCGATCGGACGGCTGTTGCGGCAGTCATTAGTACCGTCACGGTGAAGTACCGTGAGTCGGTCAGCCCGCGAGCCTCGGAGCCGCTGATCGGACCGCCGCCGCCGACCGCCGATCGCCGCGATGATCGGACAGTGCCCGAGTCAGGTATGCCACCGGGGAGGCTCACTGCCGTCCGAGTGACCCCAGGCTGGCAGAATGGTCCTGACGGTCGGACGCCAGGCCGGGCCGTGCAGTGCCCCGCGAGTCCGCCGGGGCCGCTGGGCCGGGCGGACGGTACGGTGCCACGGTGCCGCTGACAGTGCCCGCGGCCCGAGCCGGACTCCCCGCGGCTGAGGGGCGTCACCCGTGGTACTCAGCCGGAAAGTTCCCGCCGTGACGGTCACCCCGGCGGCCCCGGGGCCCCGGGCCGCCTGATCGGACTGAAGCACTGGCACTGGGCCGGGCACTGGCACCCGGCCCACTCCGAGGCGCGGGCGGGCCGCAAGTCGGCGACTCAGCCGGGCGGCCCGCCCACTCAGCCGCCGGGCCTGCCGGGCGGCCGACGGTGACTGAGCCGGGGAGACGCGTACCGGAACCATCCAGCACCAGAACTTGGAATGATGGCCACGAAGGACACGAAGGCCACAAAGGACACGACGCCGCTGAGATGTCCGATGCCATGATGACTGAGATGGGCCTCGGAAAGCTAGATCACTGATTTGCGGCGGACTCACCGTGCCTCAGCCGCTGTGTCCCTGTCAGATTCAATCTACAACGTGACGCACTTCTGCCTATTGCCACTCTAGAGCAGAACCTACAAGGAATGCGCTCTCGTGTATTTGAGAGGCCTTTTTACGGTGAACTCGATAACAATTCATATGATTTATTTCACATAATCTTAAACAAATTCAAAAAAATTCTGTATCATTCCAGTGAAAAGCAATGTCTGTTTCCATCAGCAAGCACTGCTCCAGGTCCAGGTCTTCATAGTAACATGAAGTTGTTGTTCTGATCTGTTCGAAGCATAGATTTCGCTCTTCTTCGAAAGGGTCCTTTGCTAGCGGGAGGCTGGGAAATGCCTGCATGCTTTGCTGTGTGCATATGCACTGATCCCAGGTTGATGGACATTCTGCTTGATGATCGGATGCATCACTCGTCTTTCTCTTCTTAGGACCAGGATTCGGGGTTTTGTAAGGCCATTTTGCAATTCCAAGCTTCCGGCAAGCTCGCTTAATGGCAGTGGGGCAAATTCCAATCTCAGCAGAAACTTGAGAAAGGGAACGATCGAAATAAGATTGTAGGAGCTCTCGAGTGAGCATAACAGGCTCATCATTTTCAGACGTTTGCTTTCTAGGGCATACCATAGCGACTCGTCGACGGCCTTGAGTGTTCATGTTCAGAAGATAGGAGCAAGAAGAAAGCTTGTGCGGTTCGGAGGAGTCGACCTTAGCAGTTGTGTTGGAGGAGCAGGAGTGCTTGTGGACTATTGATGCAAACTGTTCAAATATAAAGAGAAGAGTCCAGGGGCGGGGTTTGGGGCGGAGGACGGATGTCAGTACTAAGGATGGCGCACGGGGAGTGAGGGAGGTGGAGCGTGTTGGGGTGTGACAAATTTGGGCCGGGGGAAGGGGTCGGTCGTATCCAAAAGAAGTGATTTCGAATATGGAATCTCGTGGTTTCGCATAGCTCATGGCTGGTTTCTGATCGTTCATGACCAATCCATAACTGCACGTTTATTTGAAGCGCTGGGTTTTTGCCAGGCGCCAGAACACGTTGTTTCAAGACGATCATGCTGACCATCAGTATTTTGAAACGCTTCTTTTTCATGAATTGTTTTTATGCAAGTCGAGCGGCGCTCGGAGTTTGGGGCCCCAGAGTTCTTTCAAAATACTTTTAAGTTCGAACTGTCAGCACGGCAATCTGGAAACCGATATCCAAACCGACATTGGCCTCCTAGGTGTTCCTCCGCACGACGTGCGCAACTCCCGCTGTCTATATAGCCCTGCAATCCTCCCCGTCCACCACAATCGCCTGCCCGCCTGCCACTCTCCTCTTTCAGCTCTTCCTCTCCTTTGAACTTCCTCCTCTTCATTCCATCTCCGACTTGCTCTCATACACCTACCGCTCTCTCTTTCTCTCTCTCTCTTATCTATCAACCACCATCCGTCTCGTCCACTATCCAGGAAACACACCGAAAGATGCAAGCATCCAACTTGAAAACATACCGTCGCTCAGTTGCCATGGTCTGTCCACGAAAGAAGCGTGCCCAAGAAACTCAGCTCTACGACTCGCTTCAAGACGAGCCCGTGTTGCTCACTCGAGAACTTTTGGAAAGTTTCTTCGACAGGCCTCTGGTTGCGGTGTCTCAAGAACTTGGCATCTGTCCTACAGCTATCAAACGAGCATGCAGAAAGCTCGGCATTGCTAGATGGCCCTTCAAGACACCTAATCCAGGCCCCAAGAGAAAGAGGCAGTCCATTCAGCCTCCCAGGCTCTCCTCTACTGTTTCCTCCTCTTCCGAGCCAACGGACGTTGAGAGTTTATCGTGTGGCTCCCCTGATGATCATCAAAGCGGCTCAACTGATCTCTCAGTTGATATCACTTTCGATGATATATGCGAGGTTGTCAATCAGTCGTCGTGTGATCTGTGGTATGACAACACCAGACAGCCGTTTGCGGAAGACGATGAACAGGCCAATGTCGACGAACCACATCTAGTAATCAACGGGGACTCATTCGAATCATCCCTTCAAGATTATTATTTGGAAGAGGAAGACCAGTTCTTACCATTTGGTCTGACTCAGGTAGATGAAGCACCTTTTATTTGGAATTGATTTAATGAATTTGTCTTAAACCTTAATTCGAAACTATTTTGCATGACTCTGTGAAGCAAAGCAAAGTGACAAAGCAAAACAGTTTGAAAGCAGAGCAAAGTCACAATTTATTGTTCTCCAGGAGACTATGGTGTTTTCCCCACTTCTCCACGCGGAAGATCCGTTGCCAGGACTTCATCCTCTTGAATCCATCATCTGCTTTTTCATCATGCCATCGCGTCATGCAGCTGTCACTTGTGTATTTTCACCTGTCAGTAACAGTGTCAGTAATTTCAGTCAGGTTACTGAGGCGGGTTGGTCCGCCATACAGGAGCAAAGTCAGATCCGACGTGCAAGTGTGAACCGTTGCATCTAGAGATCTAAAGTCATTGACTGTCAGAGGTTGCTACGTGATCGTTTTTTTTTCACCCGCACGAATGATTGTATCCCCGACTTCTTCCTTTTACAACCCCCTTGCCCCTGGCACGCGTACCACCACCTGCACCCGTCGACCCTTGATGAAGTAAAACCACCCCACCCTTCGCTGAACCCTACGGGGCCGGGCGGCCCGTTATCACGGTGGTGGTAACGTGACCTCCGATTGAAGCTCGGAAGTATTACGAAAAGGTCAAAAAGGGTCGCCCCTCGGTAACATCCGAAAAGTAACAACTGAAGGCTTGCCCGGGCGGCAACGACGACTCGGGTCACCAGCAGGCAGTCAGCGCCACACAGTGTCTGGTCAGCAATCACTACTAGTGACTGTCATCAGTTGTGGCATCTCACGGCACCGTACCGTACCAGCCCTTGCCCATGCGGCACGTATCCGATTAAAAAAAACTTGAACGTGACAAACAACCGTGCCATATCAATGAGACGGGGACTCGATTCGGATTATACCGAGCACTAGTCCTCCGTGCCGACTCCATCACGCGGCGGCCGGGCGGCCCCCGACTCCCGGCGATCGGACGCGGATGTGCACTCAGTGACTCAGCCGACCCGAGTCCTCGCACGGGTGACCGGTACCGTGCGATGCCCGGCCGCACGGGTCACCCGTGCGGGACGGTCGTCTTCAACTAGTTGCCAGACGGTTTTCAAGTGACTAGCAAGTTACACTCGGCCCCCGCCGGCCGGCCGCCGGGCGGCGGCCGGGCCCGGCCCGGCGGGCACGCCGGACCGTGAGCCTGTGACCGTACACGGTCCGGGCCCGGCCGTCAATGGGACCGTACGGGACTCGGACTCCGGGACGGTCGGCTGGAGCGACCGGGTCCCGGAGTCCGGCCGCCGCGGCGGGACGGTCGGCGGCCGGAGCCTCGGCGGCGACTGAGCCGTCACTACGGTAGTACACTGTCACCGGGTCGGCCGGGCGGCCCGCCGGGCGGGCCCCCGCCGCGGCCGCGGGGGGCGGGCACTGTATGGTCACTGTGAGATTATCGGCAGTGGCGTCCGGGCCTCAGGCTGGCCGCCGGCCTTCAAGCCAAGGCTTCAAGGGCCGCTCACTGCCCTGCCTGTCGGCCTCGGAGGGCCCGGCAGTGCCGGCCGGCCAACGGGCCTGCGGCCTACAGTACCGTACCAGGCGGCCTACGGTCCGGCGCCGCGTGTGAGCGGGGACGAGGCTAATGAAAGGAATGATCTGCAGCCGCGCAATGGGAATGCTAGGAGGGGATAGAGGAGGGAGAGAGGGGTGTGAGAGGTAGGAGATAAGAACGCGCCAGGAAGGGAGGGGAACGTTGCAGGATAAAGAAGGGGCAGTAATGGGGACTGGAACGGAAGGCCCTAAACACGAACAAATGGCGGGCAAGAAGCAAAAGACGAACGAGAAATGGATGAAAATTATGATTGTAGTGTGCCGAGGTCAAGAGAAGTCAGATGACATTGCACTGGCATGAAAACTGGTGCATACCAATAAGAAGAAATGTTGAGAGCCCTACCGAAACATAAAGTGTGCTAAGTCTATCATAGAAGAGCTCATCGCAAAGGCAGGGGTCCATGAAACCTGAGCCTCAGCATGTACATATAGAGCAAAATAGAAGGCGATCATTTACAGACCTTGCTTGATGGGTTGTTGTTGAAGTGGAAGCACGGCAGTCAGGTAGATGTATGCTGAGGTTGAATGAAAATCACAAGAGTAGTTGCTACATACCTGAGATAGTCCAGGGAATTTTCATGTTTTGACACAGTGGAAGATGCCGGGGGTTGATGGAGACAAGAGCAAGGAGGAGATCATTGCATCAGTGGGGATCAAGCGAGAAGAGCCTGACGACCGAGATGGCGATGAGGAGAAGGTCAAGGTGAAGTTGGAAAGGTGCCGCCCCCTTTCTTGATCTTCCTCCCTTTTGCCTGCCTGCCTGCCTTGCCTTCTTGCCACCCGCACTGCCTTGCTGCATGCTTCTATGTTTGATTATCCGTTCTTGGCTCTCTATCCAGGGCCGGGGATGACTACGATGTGGATGATTTCGATGAGAATCGTTTGGATGAGGTTCTTGGCGATGATGACAACAAGGAGGCTATCGGGATCGCCCCAAGGCGACCACAACCGCCCCAACGTTTCTGTCCGTATCTCGACAGCATCAACCGTCACATTCTTGACTTCGACTTTGAGAAAGTTTGCTCTATCTCCAACTCCCACTTGAACGTCTACGTGTGCCTTGTGTGCGGGAAGTACTTCCAAGGACGAGCCCGAGGGTCTCCAGTCTACTTCCACTCGCTAGAGCACAATCACCATGTTTTCATGAAGCTGGAATCAGGAAGAGTGTATTGCATTCCGGACAACTACGAAGTGCTGGACTCGTCCCTGGCGGACATCAAGCACAACTTGAACCCGACATACACATCTGAACATGTGTGTTCCTTCCTCTTGTAGCTGAACCTTCTTGTCCGCTGACACCTCTCGTGCAGGTGAAGAGTCTGGACATTGACGTCAAGTACTCGAGAGGAATCGGTAAGTTTGCTTGCATGAGATGAATCAGCTTTCATGGTCGAGAGAAAGACTCTTAGCCTTTCTCCTCTTGACTTTCACTTTCGAGTATTTTGAGACTCGCTGGCCGGGGGAGAGGAGTGCGTCGTGTTAACTTCTCTCGCAGATGGTACGGAGTTCATCCCGGGGACTGTTGGGTTGAACAATCTCAAGAACACGGTTGATGAATCTGACACCTGTAACCGTCATGGTGTGTTACACTCCTGTTAGGCTTACTTGAACGTCATCATCCAAGCTCTCAGCTGCGTGACTGAGCTGCGAAACTTCTTTCTCCTGCCCGAGGTGCGCCCTCATAGGAACTCACTGGGTGGGACTGAGCATGTGGTAGAACTACAAGCACTTCAAGAGCCCGCTTGTTCAGAGGTTCGGCGAGCTGCTTAGAAAGATGTGGAACCCTTCTGCCTTCAAGGGACAGGTCTGTGACTGACAGCTCGGGTTGTCATGACCGATCTGAGCTCGTGATACAGGTATCCCCGCACGAGCTGTTCCAGGCGATTTCTGTGGAGAGCAACAGGAAGTACCGAAGGTCTGAGAGTACAGGAGGGAGGGGGATGATAACGATTGGCTCCAGCGATGTCCACTCTGACCCTGCGGAGTTCTTGAACTGGTTTCTCAACAGGTTGCCCAGGAGGAAATGTTATCAGAATTCTTGGAGAGTCACTTTGATTGATGACAGCTTGCACCGGGGGCTGGGAGGATCGAACAAGAGGAACAGTTCAGTTATTCACAAAGTGTTCCAAGGACTGGTGAGGTTTCAAGAGGTAGAGGCGAGGAGCCGTATTCTCATTCCCCGCCCGTTTCCCCCAAGGTCCGAGTGGAGTCGAAGAAGGCCAAGATCAAGAAGGCAGATGAGAACGAGAGGATGGTCATGGTGATGTGCCGATCTACAGGCCTCCCGCGCTAAGCTGATCTCTGAGTGCAGGATGACATGGACGACGACGAGCCATGGGACGTTCAGACAAGTGATGCTCTAAACTCTCCTCCCTCCCTTCCGCATGACAAAAATGTGCCCACTAGCTCCTTTCCTGCAGCTGACTCTCGACCTCCCCCCTACCCCCTTGTACGCTGATGAGAGGGACAAGAACATCATCCCGCAGGTTTGCTGCTCCTCCAGCCCTCGCTGCTCCTTCCATGGCCGTGACGTGCTGACTCGCAGGTCCCCTTGCTGACGATCCTCCACAAGTTCGACGGCGTCTACGAGCAGGTGATGAGGCTGAGAGCTGTGGGGTCAGTGCTTGTCTGACCTCTTGGCCAGAACGTTCGAGGAGTCTTGAAGCGTTTCCGATTGTTGGAGCTTCCCCGCTATCTCATCCTGAACATCAAGAGATTCAACATGAACACTCAGTTCGAGGTGAGGAACCAAGAATCTTGGTTGATGTCCCTCTCAGCCAGTCTTGTTTTCCTCTTCTCTCTGCCTGTTCCGCCGCAAGTAACTCGATCCCTGTGAAAGATGGAGAAGAACCCCACCATTGTTTCCTTCCCCATCAAGAATCTTGATCTGCGAGGTGAACTGCTGGCGTGCTTTTCTTTCCCTTCCTCGTCTCCTCACACCATCTCAGAATTCATTGATATTCCCGAGGGCCAAAATGTAGTTACAAGATACGACTTGGTATCCTCCCGCTCCCGCTCCCGCTCCCGCTCCCGCTCCCGCTCCCGCTCCCGCTCCCGCTCCCGCTCCCGCTCCCGCTCCCGCTCCCGCTCCCGCTCCCGCTCCCGCTCCCGCTCCCGCTCCCGCTCCCGCTCCCGCTCCCGCTCCCGCTCCCGCTCCCGCTCCCGCTCTTGCCTTCTTCCATCGAGTTCCGTTCAAATCCCTGTCAAAAGTCATTCCCTCGCTTGCAGGTCGCCAACATCTGCCATGAGGGGCTTGTGACTAAGGCAACTGGGACAAACGAGGTGAGAAAAGTCTCGGAGGGCTCCAGGCAGCAGTAAGGCACAAAGAAGGCATGCTGACGCTGCGGCAGGTTCACGACAAAGGTATCGCTATGAAAGAAGGAGTTTTCAGGACCCAGGTAACTATTTCCTTACTACCTCCATCTTGTCCCCTGTCTCTGCATCCCCCATGATCTCGCAACTTAAATCCAACCATTTTCACGCTCCTCCTGCAAACCCTTCATCCTCTCTGACACATTCTGCGCCTCAGTGTCTCAACAAGGCCCAAGATCAGTGGTTTCTCATGGATGACCTACACATCCAAGAGATTCTCCCGCAGGTCAGGAGCAAACGCGTCTCCTCTCCTTTCCCTCTCTCTTCCCTCCTCGACTCCCCCCACGCTTCTTTGCTCCCCCATGGCCGATCTGCCCTGATCGACCTCTCAGGTTGTCTCCATCTCGGAAGCGTACATCCAGGTGAGCTGCAGGAGACTGATACACGTCAGCATGACAAACCTTCACAGATCTACGAGCGATCGGATCTCACAGCGGCCAGGAATGCGCAGAAACCGGTCAACGTGAAGGCGGAAGTGAAGATGGAGGTCAGTGTCATGTGGCGCGTGTAGACATGGCAGTCACGAGTGCGTCGGCAGGAGGCAAACTGAAGGAGAGGAAGACGGCGACGATGGAAGGTGAAAGGATGTGGAGACTGAGACAAGGCCAAGACGATCTTTGGAAGGGAGGGAGCCAGGAGGCTAATGCAATAAATGTTCTCTTACACGAAAAAGCGCCGTCTAGCTGGCTGTGTACGATCGTGAATTTTCATTGGATGTTGAACAGTAGCAGGAGACAGCAGCTGGAGAAAAAGTGGCAGAGGAGAGGTTGTGTCGGAATGGCTAATGCCCGAGTTCAGTTGTTTGGCAATCCATGATGATGACGTGTAAGCGAAGACGATCGTAGCAGTAGCAGGAGACGCTGTTGCTGCTGTTGGTGACAATGATAAAGACGACAGCCATGATGATCATGATGCCGACGACGACGAGAAGAGAGGTACAAGAAGATTCTCACAACACGATTTACAAACCAATACAAATGTACACTTCAAGTGTTAAGATGGCGCGCTGAACTGCTGTTTATCACCTGCCGAATTCAACTGCGAGCAAGCAGAAATCCCCTGCAAGCGCCATGCATTTCGCATGGCAGCCCAGGTCTCATCAACGACCCCCTCATCTCCCATCTGCACTGAGCACTCCGTCCTCCTCCTCTTTACGAGGCGCTCGCAGCAAAATGCGTCCTCTTCCTCCTCGTTGATACATGCCTCTTGGGGGTCGGGGGCCCTTGCGGAGTTGATGGTGCTAGGAGTGAACTCGTACCCCGAGCTGTTGTGCATGCCATCCTCCCACTCGACTGCGCGATGACTGCACTCGTCCTCCAGCTCCATATCGCATGCTCGCTCTTCCAGCCCTTCCTCGTCATGCACTGAGATGGGCTCGAGATTCCAGCCTCTGCGGTGCCGGATGCTCGAGAGCAAGGTCGACTCCTCCTCCATTCCTACTGGGTGGTTTGCCATGGCGTGTAGAAAGCGGGTGCTCATTCGCAAGAGCAAAGGAGGTTAGCGACTCGATACAGATGAGCTTCTGAGGTAAGAAGAAGAAAAGAACTTGGGAGAATGCCCCTCTTTCAGTCTGAACACGTATCCAGAGTGCAGTTTGTAGAAACTAGGGTGAAAGGAGCAGGCTTAAAGTGAGAGTGTAGATAGCATGCGGTTCCCCAAGGATGAGGAGAAGAGCCTCTGTGAGGAGAAGGAAAGGAAGGCTGTAAACCACTGAGCCAGTGGTGAAGGAGAAGGAGCAGGAGGAGAAGAAAATGGAGAAGCAGGAGGAGGAGGAGGGGTAAGGGCAGTGGAGGGGGGGGGCAGGAGGAGGCAGGAGTAGGAGGAATGGAGGAGACAGGAACAGGATCAGGAGGAGGAGGCGGTAGCAGGATAAGGAGCAGGAGGAGGAGGCAGGGAGGGAGACAGGAAGCGGGAGGAGGGGGAGGAAGAGACGGTGGTTCAGGTTTGCTCCGCCCCCACAATCGTCGAGCTACAGGAGGAGGCGAAAAAGGCTCTCCAGGATTCTTTCTAAAAATAGTTATTATATAGTACAGAGTATTTTGACTGTATATAGAAAATTCACACATATAGCTAATAGATTCAGCTATATATGACAATCAGTACTCAAAGATTACCATTTAATATATATTTATATTTGTTTGTGCGGTACATAGAAATGAGCCATAGGGAAATGCCGCAAATTTATTATTGTTTTAAATTTGGCCGAAGAATCTTGGTCCGCCTCAGAGTACCTTTAAACGGTTAGGGCGATGCAGTCGCAGGAGGGAGCAGGCCAGCCGGCGGAGCGAGCGAGCGAGATGAGGAGGAGGAGATGATCGGGGATCGATGCAGCTTCAACCAAGCATCACAGCGCTGAGAGCAGAGGACTGCTTGACTGTCGCTTGCAGGAAGAGCTGACGGGTCTATGGTCCAACGTCAAGTTTGGGTGTTAGCGAGTAGATACTGCGGGCTCTATAGTTGACACAGCAGGCGGCAGCGGAAGCTTTCTCCCAGCATGGCTAGTCGTTTCCTCGCACTCGTTGGATAAGAGTCCAGACCCAGCCTCTGCTCTTGCACACCTAGACGCGACATCGAGCAGCTTTCATGGACCCTTCGTTAGCAAGGCAGAGATCGGTTGCCTCCATCCCGTCCAAGTTTGAAACAGTAAGGAGGAGCGATTGAACATCCTGCCATGACCCTGTCCCCTCGCAGATCCTGCATGACGGCGGGAAGGAGAAAGATGCTTTCTGGACCAGGACCCATCGCTTCTCCTACTCGGAGAACGAGCTGCCAGGACCAGGGCAGTACTACAAACCAAAGGTGACAACGCGCAGGAGCTAGAGAATCTCTGTCGTGTTTAGTAGCGATTCACTCACCTCCCACATAGCGGGGGCCGGGATAAGAGGGCGAGGAGAGAGGAGCGGGGGGAGGGGCGCGGGAAGGTTAAGAGTCATTGTGTTGCGTAGGGGCGAATGTGGCGTGACGAGCAAGATGCAAGAACCACAGGCTGGGAAGAGAGAGGAGAGGGAAGAAGAAGAACGAAACGTCACACTATAGAGTTTATGATCAGCTGGATAAAGTAGTGTTCAGTGCATTTAACCAAGGGATAAGCAAACAGGTGGTGCAGCAGCAACACAGACGAAGCAGACATGGGAGAGGACGAGGGAGCAAGTAATACAGCAACTGCATGAAGACAAAGAAGAAGTAGA